TAAATTATATCTTCATATTTAAATATTTTAAGTTAAATATTAAGGCTATTTTAGAGTAAAAGTCTGATGCACAGTAAATAAAAGACAACATTTTATCTTCTCTACCATATTATAGATTTGATGAGAAATTAGGTCAACTAGTGAAGTGGTTAGCTCTTCTCTTGAAAAAAACAGATTATGTTTGGTTATTTTTCCTTTACAATATTTAATATGGAAGGAAACTGATAGATACAGAAGCCATTAGGTCTTCAAAAGAAGCCACAGTATTTTATAATTTGTGGTGTCAGAAATACAAGTTATGGAGTGAAAGTTTACTTTGGAAGTAGTAATCCATTCATCTATCTATGATACTTTGGAGACTATTATAATGTTATGAGAACTTCCTAATGATGTCTTCTAAGTAATATTAATTATTTGTAATTACTTCATAAATATTCATTTTCTCTATTTCAGGGCCATCAATTTTCACTATCAACTGTAATTTTAATCCACTCAATTTTTTCCTCAAAATATTCTCTAGAATATGATTTTAAAGTAGTTTTTACTGCAATATTTTTTCTTCATGTACTTATTCATCCTTTATACATATTTATTATTTTAATTCACATGATTTTAATTGCCATATGAATTTATATAACAGGCATATAGATTTTTATATAAATTAAGACTATAGAAATTCAACATTATTTCTTATTTGAAAGGCAAAATTGAAGGAAGCAAATGTAGATTAAGAGAGCATATGATTTCAAGAGTTTAGTGAGCACATTTATTATATGCTTTTAAAATAATGATGTGGCTGATTAGCTAAATTAGTAAAAAATACAGCTATGATAGGCAAAAATCAAGAGTTAAATGATGTTGGACCCTCTGTGTGCACCATATTGCCCTTCAACATGTGTCCTTTAATTGCTGCTGTACTCACAAGCTGGGAAGGAATGTGGTGAGTAAGAAAGGAAGCAAAGGAAAATAAAATATGAAGGTTCCGCCAACTTATCTAATCATCTACACCCTGAAGGAGAGTTTTTGTTGGCCCAGTTCTCAGATCTTGCATTATACAAAATTAGAAAAGTGTGTAGAGAGTCATAGGTAGAACTCTGAGAAAAAGGGTAATAAATTAGAGGAAGGGGCTAAATCAATCTATTTAATGGGGGCCCCAAACATGGTAGATAATGCAGCATAGGATATGGCTGGAGAAAGATCCTCCCAAGTATCTGCAAATGGTGAGAGTAAGCTTTTGGGTTTACTTTAGATTTATTGATGGATATGAATTGTGGATTAGATCTCCTTCAAAATTAATTGAAAAAATCATTAAAGTTTGAGCTTCCTTTCAATTCCTGTTTGGCAGTTATACTGTGGTTTGCTGAATATGACTGCACAAATTGACTGGACCACATAGGCTCAAGATTTATTAGGGTTACAGGTGAAATCATATGTCAGTGACTAATAGAAGTTGTAATACTACTTGCAAAGTCACCATTGCAATTATATGTGTAATCGGTTATAAATATGCACAAGTTGTTAGGTGCAAATAGAACTGCTATTTGAATATAACCTTTTGTACTAATAGATGTGATTAAAAATAAATTGAAATTTGGAACTTATTGTAGTTAATATAGTCAAGCTTAAATTTTCACAGTAATACAATGGAAAAAACGCATATCTGTAGAAGAAGTTATCTATGAAGTTTTTCATATTTTGATCCCATGTACTATGTGATTATATGTGCTTATTGACCAAGCAGTGTCAATTACATTGTGGTATATAGTAGCTATAAATGTTTTTGTAGTTATTCTATATTTGAATATAGCAACTTAGTTCTAATTTTTAAAGTTTCATTTGTAAAAGCTATAATCTTAACTACTATTTTCTAACTGAAGTCTTAATGTGTAACTCCAAGATAACAGTAAAATGGAAATTACTTTCAGTAGAAGTTATAATAAAGATAACAGAAATATTTTAGACCTAAATTTTGTTTACCCTGTGTGAAAATAGGTACTACATGGAGAGAAGGTATTAAGAAATTATTACATAATACCACATATTTGCAAAGTTGTTCAAGTGCTTTTGCTTTACAGCAGATTAGTTCTTGGTTACTTTCCTTTTCGAATAAATGTCAGATGTCACATTATTAGACAGGAAAATGAGGTAATAGCTCAGAGAGAGCTGTTATAAATACTGTTATTATTTATAGAGATAAGTAATAGGAAGGTTTTCAAAGAAACCTTTGGAAACTCTGTTAGTTCAAAGCTCTATTAAAAGCAAAGTGGTTTTGATTGAGGGAGGCCCACAAATGATCATCTAAAAGCAACATTGTGTTTTCACAATGACCACTTCAATAAAGCATCAGTCAAGACTGTGAAGCCTGCAGTTGAACACTTTGTGGTCACACTTGGACTGTGCATAGACAAAGCCACATGCTTTGTTTTAAATAATCCCTAATGTACAAAGTAGTGATTGTAATGTTGCAGGTCTTTTTTCTTTCCTCCAGAAATTACTATTACAGATTAAAGTTACGTAGATGTTTTGAGCCTCTTAGTTTAAGGGAACTATCTAAATATTAAATTGTACCAGCAGCCCCCAAACAATCATTACAAAGTGTAGAATGCACTATAAATGCTTACAATTCCTGGCACTGTTTATACTTCATCATAAATCTTATATACCGGTTTAATAAACTCAGTATACTTAAATGTGAAAACACTTATTTTTAAGCTGTATCCACCTCTGTATTGTCCTTTGCCTTTAGATGCAGATATCATACACATGAGAGGTAGAGTTTGTAGAAGATAGCACCGAATTCAGCACTTTCTATTCTAGCAAGTTATTTGTTTCCAAACACTGTCAACTTACAGCTACTTACAGTAGACCACTGAGATTGATCTGACTTGATGTTGAAAATCTTTATCAGGTTCCTATGTATGCAAATATCATCTTCTCTTACTAGTAAAGCAGGCATATTTCTTAGGTATTTTATTAGACTCTCCAGGATCTTCCTACATATAGTTTTAATTTCATTGTAATTTCTGTTTTAAAAAGAACAGAATTCTAATAATGTATAAGATAATTATGCCAAATTTGGTTTTTGTGAATTATTGAATCTCATTTTTTATTCACCTCGCCTAATGTCCCACAAGCACAGTCAAAAGGGTTTTTGAGTTTTATTAAACTACCTTATTATTAAATACTTGGATGTTAGTTGCACAAAATAAGGTCACAATACAGCTTTTGTAAAATAACATGTCACAGCATTGACTAGAACTGTCTTTGTAACGAACATGCAATTTTTAAAGTTTTGTTATTTTGAGACTAAATTTCAGAGTTTCAAGAACATTCTTATAGTTCAAGTCTACCTTTACTCGATAGATTGCTGAAGTGACTTGGTTTTATTTTAATATGGAGCTTGTAATTTGATTTGTGTAGCCAAACCATTCTACCATAGGGTTCTTATTTTCTACTGAGCTCAGAACCATTTTTAAGAACTGCATATTTCACAAAGGCCCAGGAAATTCATGTGACTTTCCAATAGCCTTCTGCCTCAGCCTTCCTTCACCACTCAAAGTATACACCTCCTTGAAGTTTCTAGCACAGCCAAACAGCTACAGCTACACACTCCCTAAAACTTAGTTCATTCAATTTGGCTGTCTTCTCAGCAGAAGTCACTCCCTGCTTCAACTTATGTAAAACCTATACAAGTTCTGACCCACACCTCGTGTTGCTTCTTTTCAAAGAAGCCCAACCTGTTCTCCAAAACCCTCAGTGATCTCTGTCTTCTCTGATACCTATATGGCCTATTATCTGTGTCACTCAAGTTTCACACTTACCAACTGAGACTGTGTAGTTAGTTGTTATTCCTACTCAACCAAATTATAAGTTATTTGAAGTCAGGGATCATGATTTATTACTTCCTTATATATGCCATAGCCCCAAATTCAGAATTTTACTCATAGCAGTCATATCTTTTTAAATATAAAAAGAATTATAAGAGATGATCTCAACTACATTAGATAGATAAGAGACCTGGATCTCAGTTCTTAAAGGAAAGACTAAAAAATATTTGGTGATTGTTGAGTGCTGGGTTTACTACTAAGTGTTGGAAGGAGTTTTAATTTTTTTGTATATATGGAATACTCTACAAAATGGTCCTTTTCAAACTTGAATTTGCATTGGAATCAACTGAGCATTTGTTAAAACACAGATTGAGGGGGCCAAAGCCCAACATTTCTGATTCAAGAGGCCAGGAATGGGGTCAAGAATTTGCATTTCTAACAAGTTTCCAGGTGATGTTAATATTACTGGTTCATGGACTGCCTTTTGAATAGCATTACTATAAGAGAAAGGTTCTAATACCTAAATGCTATCTCAATGAGAGTTTTTCTGTTTTTGAAAGAATAAGTTAAAACTTTTGTATTAAATAACCAGGTTTTTAAAAACATATCAGTGGTTTACATTCCAAACATGCTTTCAATTTGCTCCTAAGGGTTCCACTTTTCTAATGATTCACAGGTGTTAATTGTCCATGTAAAGAAATAATTTTAAAAGCTCTTTTCATTCATTTTTTATCAAAATTCAGTTTTTATTGGAAAGGACAAGACAAATGCCAATAAAGCAATGACTTCTTATCTAAATTTAGCATTCTCATACACAATTGAGAACAGGGCTAATTGTAACAACTTTCTGGAAGGCAGTTTGGCAACATATATAGAGAACTTTAAAAATGTATACACCTTTCACTCTACAGTCTAACTGGTAGTGTTTATCCTAAGTATAAAATAAGTAATCAAATATGGAAATATTCTATACTTTGGTGTTATAATAGTTGACTAGGTATATACATTTGTCAAAACTCATGTTGTCCATTTAAAATGGCTGCTTTTTTGTTAATTGAATAAAAATTGAAATAAAAACTTTAAAATTGAAATAATTATTTTTTAAATAAAATTGAAATAAAAATTTTAAAAGTATCAGTAAGCAATCACTTCCTTTTTTGTTTTTTTTTTCAGCTGCAGTCATGTCATTGATACAACTTCTGATCCACACCTCATGCTCCTTCTTTTCAAAGAAGCCACCCAGTTGTTACCTACTTCAGGTTGAAAGTAAGTGTGAAATGAGAAATTGAGTTAAAGGTGTTTGCCATGGCCTCTGCAGTTACGTAGCTTGTGGAGAAGGCCAGGGTGTGTGTGTGTGTTGGGGAGCGGGGGGTCCAGGATCTGTGAAGTAGTCCTGCAGCTACTCCACTGGTTTTAAGCAATAGAGAATGCATGACCATTTTAATGACTCACCTGTTGGAAGTCTACCAGAGAGATGGAGAAGATAGAGACCGTAACAAGTCTTTTCACCTTGGATTTAAGCTATTGTCTAGAGTCACTGTACAAGTTCTGAGGTACTTTAAAGCTGAAGGACCTGAGTCTCTGGTGATTCATTCTCTCCGCTAGAGGGAATGAAACAGGTAAATAAATTAGTACAGCGTAGTTTTTCTAACTGATTTTCTAAGATCACAAACAGGCTTGCTCTTTCTGCATCATTTTTCTGCTTTCTTAGTTAGATTGTCAGCTCCTTTCGAGTACTTATTTATCTTTCTATCCCCCAGAGTCCTGCTTTATTTATAATTGCTACTCAGTAATTATGTAAGGAGATTGAAATAATTCCTTACTGTTAGTTGGTATTTTGCAAACTTTCATTTCAGTCTAGTGGAAAGGTAAGAATGTAGTAGTTTAGGAAGATATTGACAAGGATGTTTTGAAGGTATGGCCAATGGTATTACATATTATGTTTAATGAAAACCTTTAAAATAGCATCTCCTTTTTCATAAGCAACTTGCAAATCAGATTTTCTTAATTGTTTAAAGTAAAAAACAATGCTCTTTTCTGTATATCCCAGAACTGCAGATGAATATGGTTACTAAAACTTTTTCCAAGTCATATATTTTCATTAGCTACAGTGATCTTACAACTGAAGCTTAGCTATAGGCTATGTTAAAGATACATGAGGCAGAATATAAAGTAGCTAGAATTTACGGTGTTACATGGTATTGCAAAAGCAAGGCACACTGCTTTTTCTTAATCCAAACATATGTAGTCTAACTGGAAAGAAATTCTGAGATTAGATCTTTCAAATAATGAAGAATTTTTGTTGTTGGTGGTGGTGGGTTTGTTTGCTTTTAGTTAAAATTAAAGCACAAAGGTTTTATCAAAATATGAGTGAAATTGTCAGGGAGTTGCTTGCATTTGTGAGAATCTGCTATGTTCTTAATGGTACAGTGAACAAGAGCCATTAAACCTAAGAGTATGACCCTATAGCATGTACATCCAAAGCTGCAACAGAGGGATGTCTGTATAGAAACAGGAGTTTGCTGCCGCTACTGATCTGAAGTTCCCATTGACTCCCATATAATATCTAAAACCTGTTCATCACTTGCCTTTTGTCAAAAAGTTAGTCATATCATTTTTCTATTTTGTATTCCTCTAATTATTTTCAGTGGAGCAAGCATGTGTAAACTCATCAATTATATTTTTATAATAAAGTGTTTTTCACCTTGTAACAAGGCTATGACTGTCTCATAGCATTGAATCCAAGTCTGTGAAGTAGACCCTGTGAGAGAGACGAAGTGACTTGCCCAAGGCCACTTTGATGTCATCAGAAAGAAATTTAGATTCAGGTCTCGCTTACTTCAGGACCAAAGCATAGTTGTTCATATATCAGAATTTTAGATATTTGTACCTACTTTTGAAATGTTCTTATTTAATTCTGGCCATCTCCACCTATGACCCTGTCCAAATCGTGGGCAAATTTCTTTTGAGTGAGACTGGTTTTAATCAGTTCTTATGGTATCCCTCCACAGAGTTATTTCCATAGTAGAATGCATTTGAATGTGCTATAAATCTGCCATCATGGTCTTATCTCAAATATCACTCTCTCAAAAATGACTTTATTGCTTACTAGTATTATATTCTCTACAGTGATAGCTGATTTTATTTTTTTCAAAATATTTTTATCTGAACTTACATTATTTACTTGTGTACATGCTTCCTGTCTGTTTTTTCACTGGAATGTAAGCTACCTTGAAGCTTGAAACTTACCTACTTATTCCACTTTTTCGCTGGCATTTATGTGCTAGGCATGTAATAAAGCTCACCAGATTTTGGTTGAAGTAATAATCACTAGGTACTAAACGGTGGGATAACAATTACCGGGGGATGACATCACTCTCAAGCTCAGCAATAGTTCTACCGGGTAAGAGCATTACATTTTGTTTCTAGTCTTTATGTTCAGATGGGTTCCAGTGAAATAAAACTGAAAATTATTGCCATTTAGATGCCTTACTTTCCCTATAAAGTTATAAAAATGAGATAAAATATTAAAAATATTATTTTTATTACATATGAGCAGTTTATGTTTTAAAGTCTTTGAAATTATTTTCCTATGTGTATTCACAAGATATCACATTTTGATTAATTATTAATTCCAGCCATTTGCAGACATATACTAGTGGAGAAAAATGAATATTAATAAGGAAACCAAAATCTGAAAGTCATCTCTAAGGTTTTACTTTTCATAACTTAAAATGACTCACAGTTGCTTGGTTATTTATAACTATTTTTTCATTCTACATTCTACATCAAACACACATCTCTTTCATTTTTTTTCTATTGGCAAGTAAGCATTATAGATTAGTGAATTAATTAGGCATCATAACACGTTTCAATACTACGCTTTCTTTTGGTCTAAAACCGGAAAACAAATCTAGACCACATAGTAGCTGAGATCATAACCTGTGAAAAAAAAAAATTCTCCTAATTGGGAACAAGTTTGAAATAGAAATAAACCTAATTGGAAACAAGCTTCAAGAAAGGCACAATTGAAGACTTATCAGTTCTTTTTTCTTTCTTTTCTTTTTTTTTTTAGTGCATTAGAGCTGATAGTGACAGTAAACATAAACATACCTTTGAATATGTCCATACATAAATATATATATATGGATTTTATTTAAAAGCATTTAAAGTAACTTTTAATAATATAATATGTTATTCATAAAAATGCTTTTTGGAAGCAGTTGTTAATGATTTTCCACATTTGACCAATGAGGAAAGTGGGGATTGGGGAGATTATATGACCTACCCAAGACTGAATAATTGACTAAACATAGACTTGGACCTTGAATTCCAGTTATCTGATTGGTATCTCACTACTTAAATATAATATAAATTAAAAAGTACAAAATTCTCAAATCAAAATTTAAGTAAAAGTTAGGTTAACTTAATTATTGTCTCTATTCAAGGTTTAGCTCCAGGCAACAGAATCTACTCTAGTTAAGTAACAGAAAACTATTTATTTTGGGGTATTAATTAGCTTATAGTTGAATTACTGAGAAGGCCAAGGGTACCAGGCTTGAATGCCTCTGAGCTAATAATACTGAAGCAAATCCAAAAATTGTTTCTGTGGAAGTTCACATGTTTTTGCTGCCTGCACATGAGCACTTATGGGGTCAGAAGCTTTGGCAGCTCAAGAAATGCCATGTCTCCACAACTGTACTTGCTTCTTCAATCTTTAGCCTTACAAGTCTTACTAGGTAGAAGCTTGCAAGATTATTGCAGGTTTGTTGAGTGCATATGTCAGGAGATATATCTCCCATAATGCTGAAATGTAACATGCTACCTCAAAATTTAGTGGCTTAAAATAACAATCAGCTATTTTTGTTCATACATCTGCAGGATAGCTGAGGTTGGCTAATTTAGGCTAGGCTTAGTTGGGTGACTCTGATCTGACTGGACTTGGTTCTTTGATGTGGGTTAGACTAATTCTGGATCTAGTTGAATTTATTCTGGTTTTCAGGCTGTGGGCAGCAGCTATCATAGTGATGGCAGAGGGCTAAACAAGCAGAAACACACAATGTATCCTCGGTTAAGAGTCAGACCTGGCAAATTCTCATTTCTGCAGCATTTCTTTGGCTAACACAGGTCACATGGCCAAGTCAAAAGTCAAGGTGAAGAAGTGCATTCCACCTCTAGTGGGAGGAACTGCAAACTCACAGAAGAGAGTAAATGAAGGGAAGGGTACAGAATTGAGACTAATGCTCAAATCTAACATGCAGAAAATATTATTTTGAAATTACTCCCCTGAAAAAGAGGCACAGTTGAAGAACTATCAAAATGGAAATAGATTTTATGTAAGTTTAGGACTGAGTCAAAGAAAAGTAGTGTACTACATACATTTAAGGTAATGGAAAATCAAAGATTAGTATATTCAGCATAGCTTTTATATGCATAATGTTAAAACATCAGTGAAATATTGTGGGTCATGACTGTGATTCCTCTTGAAGGATTTATATACTCCATAAGTAATATGTAAACATGTAAGAGATGACATCATAATAGTATATATAAAGCAGTCTTACCATTGTTGCATCTTAATAAGAGAAACAAGATATGTATAAAATTGACATTTAAAATAGATTTTTAAAAGATTTTAAACTGAAAGTGTGTTTCTGTGCATTTTTATTCACCTATCTACTATGTAGCAGTATATGTGATCATGTGGCTCTGTGCCAAGTATAAGAAGGGGACACTGATGTCATTTCTGTTTGTTCAGTCTAGCGCATATATGAAAGGACAGAGGCATAGGCTCCAAAATACAAGCTGAAGAAAAAGTAAAATAAAAGTAAAATAGTGTTCTTATGAAGTAAAAATTATTTCATAACCACTTATAATCTAAGACCAGTCAGTACTTTGCTCACCTTGGTTAGGAATGATTTTGTACTCCTGAATGGATGGAGCCTCCTCTTATTTAACAATACTAACATGTAACAAAAGAAGAGAAATATTTCTCTGATTTCCAGATCTTTCCAAACCCTAAAATTACCAGTCCTTCCAAATTTGCAAGGACTGGAAATTTTACCCTTTCTTTTAGTACCTGCTATCTTTCCATGAAAGGAAAACATTATACTACAATCGCATAGTAATATGTAGTATTGTAATTATACCAGTAGCAAAGGCCAATAAATTTAAAAAATAATAAAATTACAAAAAACATATATATACAATTATATATATGTTTATATACATATAAATAAGATTTATATAAATACTAACTATATAAA